TAGTTTGTGTCCAAGAAACGTTGGCAGAGCAGTTATCCTTATTCTTATTTTTTTTACATAGAGGTTTGTTCCTTCAAAGTAAATAAAATGATCTGTAATATTTCTTAAAGGCAGTGTTTTCTGGTTTGCTTCACTGCTTATGAATATAATTTGGGTGTGAAGTACAAACTAGTCATTAAAACTGTTCTTGGTGGGGAAAAAGAGACTTTAGAACAACTTTATCTATCCTTTAAAATTAGTGATAGAAAACCAAAACAAAGAAGTTCAATATATCAGAGGAAACCATGAGTCCAGCAGGATGTGGGTTGTATGGTAATCACTGACAAACCTACACAAAGCTGGACTGGAGTGACAAATGTATACAACTTTCTGTCTTCATTTTATATCATGTAATGGCTTAGGTTTGTCTTCTGATGGTATAAATTAGACTCTGTATATCTGCTCTTTGAATGCTCAAACTAGAAGAGCTGATTGTTATTAATATATGTTTTAACCTTGGGTCCAAAGTGTAAATCCAATCACCCTGGGCACCAGCTGGGCACCAGCATGGGGGTTGGGGGACAAGAGCACAAACAAGCAGCTGCTGTTGGTAGCTACACATTTATGATCGAGAACCAGAAGTTGCCACTTCCACTTTGCTTCAGGCACCCAGCTGTGTCCCAACACGGCTGAGTATTCTCCCTTCTCTGACCATGTCTGGGTGTATTTGTTTTGGTAGTGTTAGACTGATGTTGTAGCCATGGTAGTCCAGGAATTGTGCAAAAGGCAAGGATTTCTTTGGCTGATGTCTGAGAAGAAAAGCCTGAGAAAGAATGTCTTGAATTCAAAAACTTGTTTAACTCTATCCTAACTATGCAGTTAGTTCAATAAAAGATATCACCCAAAGCAATCCTTACCTGTTGCATATAAGTCTTGTAAGATCGGTCTACCTTATCTTTGGAGGCAAATACATGTCTGTGGGTCATAAGCAAGGAACCTGGTTTTCTCTGATAAAAAAAATCTCCAATTTTTGGATTTAAAAAAGTAACCCAAAAGCCACAGTTTTCCATGATTAAAATGAAACACCACTCTATATACATACAAGAAAACCAGGATCCCTGGTCATAAGTTCAGAAACAGGTATGTCTTAAATTCTGAGGAGTGTTACCTAGTGTATACTAATTACAGCTTTGCTGAAAGAGATGGTTGTATGCTAAATTTGGCCTACTGGACTTTCACACTCCCCAATCCTTTCAGAACAAAAAGTTTAGAGAGATCAAAAGTGGAATTCTTGAGTCTGTTCTGGCTGATATGTTTGAGACACATTGCCTCATTTTTTAACTAGATACTAAAAAGGTGATAATTCTGACAATCCTTATCATGGTTCTTTTGCTGTCAGCGGGATTTCTCATTACTCCACATAGAGAAGATGATCAAAATAACTTCTGTGGATGAGCAATTCTACCCATCCAATGCCAGTGCCAAAGTCAGATAAAGGAAGAGGGTGTGCATCAGGAAGGGCATCCAACTGTAAAAACATCTGCCAAATCATCCTGATGCAGATCCAAGGATCTGCAACAGTGACTCTGTTTAGACAGGAAAAGTAAAGGGAGAAGAAGAAGTAGAAGAAAAGATTATCAAAATCTGGCCAAGTATTTAATAGCAGCTATAAAATCTCAGTGCGTACAAAGCACTTTACTGCCATCTTGTTAAGGCAATTTTTGTATAAGCCTAAGTCTTCCTTGAAGTGCACTTTTCATGTTAACCCTCTCAGTATGTATAATAATGATGATGCAGGTTAAATTCTCTCACATTCAGGTTGATGTTTTAATCTCATGGAAGTAAAACAGAGAAGATATTAGGGGTGCAAACCTTCTTTCTGGCTTATTGTGTATATCCACCACCTGATGGTCTCCCATTGGATAATTAGAAGCCATATACCTAGTCAAGCAGATGAGCAGGGATCCTAGTTTTCTCTGATTAAAAAAATACCCAATTTTTTAATTAAAAAAAGTAACCCAAAATCCACAATTTTTCCCAATTTAAATGAAACACCACTATAAATATATATAT